AACAGAAATAATGACTTATTCATTTTCAAATGAGCGATGTATTAACTTTATTCATTTTCTTTGTCGCTGAAAAGTTAATTCGTTAAATGAGAGGTTTCAAAATTAAAAAAAAAAAACAAAAAAAATAGCGTATTTCGGGAGTTTTAAAAATCACATTTGTGTATCAAACTTTTAAATCGGAAAATGAGAGTGTTTAGAGACTCTCATTTAACGAAATAAAGAACTTTGCAACGACAATAATGATCATTTCAAGTTTATCGGAAAATGAAATAAAGTTAATACACCGCTCATTTGAAAGTGAATAAGTTATCCATTTCTGTCAAAATTAAATTCTGAAACCCCAATAGAATTAAAAAAAGATAGCTTATTTCGAAATAAATAAGAGGTTAAAAAATCTTATTTGTGTATTAAAATTTTGGAATGTTTAAATAAATAAAAATTGCATATCAACAAACTATTTAGTAATAACAAAATACAGACGAATCAAATTACTTACTGAACCTTCACTCAATTACTTACTGAACCTTCGCTCAAAAATTACTTACTGAACCCTTTGCTCAAATTATTTATAAGCCTTTGCTCAAATTATTTTTTTATATAACTTACTGAACCTTAGAGTTTCGTATGATTGAAGTCCCATTTTCCTTGGCATTTATCATATACGTTTTATATTATCTTTTAAAGTTAACCGGATAAGTTAACCGGGATATCTTAAATATAAATCCGTTAACCTATTTTATCTGGGTAACCTAGTGGTTAAACAAACGATACAATACCTCACGTTATATATTAAAAGTTCACTATAACAAGAGTGTGTTGTATTTTGACAGACTAGTTTTTCTGTTATCTTAACTCGTGAATACATTTTAGAACTCTACAATTTCTTATAGTTTCGCTAGAATTATTTATTTATGCAAAGTTGGTTCACGAATGTAGTTCGTTTATTACAGTCGAGCTTATTATAACAAAATTCTTTATTAAAGAATCCTGGACATAAAATTTAAATTTATATTAGTATTAGTTGAATTTGTAAAGTGTAGATTTTTGTATATTCTATACACAATGTCATTTGTACAATTTATTTCAAGCTTCATATTTCATTTTAAATCTGTTCACGATTATTATTTAGGAATCGAGTTTATGTTTAGAATATGTTTATCTATTTATTTTAACTAATAGTAGTAGCTTTGTCACTTAAAAAACAATAAGAAAGCTTTCAAAAAATTTATATTCGAATAATAATAATAATAACTAGAAATAAATAGCAATTAGCTAAATTACTTTTATATATTCAAAGTTTATTAAAAAAAAATCTAGGGCTAAACTTAGATAATAATTATATAAATTATCAAATTTAAGTAAGGTTAAATCTTCTATATATTTTTTTGAAACATAAAGCTAAACTAACTATTACAATAAAAAGGAAATAGTTTAAATCAAAGTAACTAATATATGAAAAATGAAATCAAAAAATAATATATTAAAAGATGTAACTATAGAATTTTCATCAAATTACTATATTATATGTTACAATTGTTACAATTGCTGCTATCACTATCACTACAACGAATAATACCACCTTCTTCATCAATATCGCTTGGTGCAATAGTGGAAGGACCACAAGAACTGACACTACCATTATAGACACGATCACAGATGAAACCAGAGGCAGAGTCAGTATAAGGATAAAATAGCCATTCAACACAAGTAGGATCGTTAACACAAAAAAGACAACATTCTTGTGGTGTAGTAAAATTCTCAAAACTATCGTTAGGTTGTCCTATGAAACCATAAAACATATCATTCCACCCTGGACTACCACGTGATTGACAACATGCATTTTTTTTGGCATGTTTGTTCTGAGCATGTTTATTAGCATGTTTGTTCTGAGCATGTTTATTATGATGTTTGTTCTTAGCATTTACAGTAATAGTTAATGCAAGTAAACTCAAAAAAAGTGTAATTAGAAAAATTTTAAAAGTTTGGTGATTCATATTGTTAGAATTATATTATCCAAATTTATTAATAATTAAAAATTAAAAAATAGAAGTTGAAAATTTTTAGCAGCTTATATAAAAAAAATTTAACGAATTTTTGTAGCTATAGAATCTACTAAGTATGTATGTACATACTCTTATCATATTTAATTATTTTACAGTCGGACCTCCCTAAATGCAACCTCCCTAAATGCATATCTAAGTAAAACCTCCCTAAATGCATGCCTTTTTTTTGGCCCAACTTAATATAACACTTATAGATTTTTACCTCTCTAAATGCATAGCCTCTCTAAATGCATATTTTTGAAAATTTTTACTATGGTCCCGATGCTATGCATTTAGAGAGGTCTGACTGTATTAACATGTACGTAATATAAAATTTATAGCTTAAGTACCAATACAATGTGAAAGCTTAAATTTGCGTACATTATCAATATGCAGTGTCAATAATTCTACATGTTTGTTTTGAGCATTATCAGTAATAATTAATTTCAAGTAAACTCAGAAAAAGTGTAATTAAAAAAATAAAAGTTTAGTGATTTATATTGATTGAATTATATTATCCAAATTAATTAATAATTAAAAATCAAAAATATAAGCTGAAAAATTTTAGCAACTTATATAAAAAAAATTTGGCAAATTTTAGGATCTATAAATCCATTAAGTACGTATGTACATATCTTATTGTATTTAATTGTTCTATTAACATGTATGGTGCAGGAAATTTTAAAAGCCTCAATATTCTATGCATTAACGAAGGGAATCTCTTTGCATAAAAACGTAA